GAAAAAAAAAAAGACAAAAAAGCAACTGTCAAGGATTGAAAACATGATGAGCACAGCGATATGCATGATTGGCTGGTTTTTGAACCACTGAGGGAATCTACTCGCCACAGCAGCTATTGTCATCGCAGAGTTCATCAGCCGTGCTGAAAATTCCTTCAGCCACGATCCAGGTCAATCACCCGACACAATATTGATGGTGTGAGGATGATGTACTAATTGTAAATGTTTACCATGGGGATTATCAGGCCGGCAGCACTATTCAGCAACCATGTCATGCAAACAGTTAACAGTATTTAGTTTTCAAAGTGCTGGTATGTTAGTATTATGAAATGGCTTTTCCTATTAAAGATAAGAGGAATTAGGCACCACAGAAGTCCACCAGCTAGCTTCCCACTAAGGCAACAGAGCACCCGTGCTGCAGTAAACACTGCCATTTGGAAAAGTGTTGAAATATCTATACTCTGAGCAAATTTTAGATGGAAAGCTCAGAAAGTCTTTGTCATACACAGCTGTATAAATTAGAACAATCCAAAAATACCACATGGATAGTCTCCTGTTGGCTGACTAAATTTGGTGACAAATGATACTTGTGGGCAAAAAGCTTTAAGAAATGCCTTTTTTAAATTTTTTTTTAAGAAATGGGTTATTGATTGATACCTGTCCCATACAGCCATTGGAGTGGATTAAGTAGATTATCACCAAGGTAATGCTCATAAAGCGAGGGTGGCAGAAAATGTCGGAAATGGCATAAATGAATTAGTTTCTTTCTTAAGTCATTGATGAGTGAAAGGACAGTGGTCTTGAGAGATAACAGAGATATAAAAGGTGTTCATTAGTGAGCTTTTGAGGTGCTGGTAGCCACATTTTGTAACATTCAGACAGAGCCAGACCAGCTGTTTTCCCCCTGTTTCGAGTCTGCTATGCTAAGCTAAGCTAACCGGCTGCTGATTGTAGCCATATACTTACGGTACGGATTTAAGAGTGGTAGTGTATATCTCACGTCAAACTCTATGCAAAAAGCAAATGTTCCCTAAATGTTGAACTTCTCTTTCTAATTATTTTAAGTGAATCACTTTAAAAGGCAAAATGCAAAATCCTAACAAAAGGACAGACTACAACAAGATGAATCTAGTGAGCTCTTTGTTCTTCATTCATATTAGTATTATTTTTAAAATAATTTTAAGTATTCTGTAAAGTGAAAAAAATCAAGCATTTTACTGTCAAAATTTTAAATCTTCGTTGACAATTTTATAGATGAATGTTTATTTAAAGATGTAAAGGCTTTTTTCTTTTTAAGGAGTGTCGTTCTCCCAACTTGGGAAGTGCAAGTGCAGGTAACGGTTTTATTTTGAGAAAGCTGCGGTGACAAAGTGAGTGCCTCTGTTTCAGTAAAGCAGGGTCAAAATATGCGGCGAGAGAGAGAATTGGTGCGTTCTGTTTTCATCTAGCGAACGAATGTGCTTTTGACATCTCTGGGGAAAACTGTTACTGGTTGCCTTCACAAAGTGCAACAGAAAATGGCCCTACTTTTTCCCTTTTTTTGTAGAAAGAGATGGGTCAGGGAATATGACAAAGCTTCAGGGCATTTAGTGTAGTGGGAGGAGAGGGGGGAGAAAATAGGATTACAGAATGTAAGAGCGAGGATAGATGGGCCCTTTTCAGCCAAGTGGTTATATTTTAGTCCCAGTATTTGAAGAGAAACATGACAATTAACCAATGTCTGCAGAAAGGGCCCCAAAGGAAGGACTTTGATAGAGATATTATGGTCAGTTTTCCTTGCAAAGGTGCATTCAATGACAATGGACCCCAGGGTTTTACGTTAGAAACTCTGTATGACTCTTAACTCAACTGATGTCATTGATGAGTACAGTCACGACTGTCTCCCCTCAGGCTTCGGGGGAGTATTTCCTGACCCTAATACCTCATGATCGTAAGGGTAGTACAGGAGAGCACACAGTTTTCGTTTGGAGCAGAGCTTACGTATTTATACAGACCCAGTTGTGATAATATTTTTCTAATTTAGAGGTTTTATCAACGCTTTCACTGAATAGTCCAGGTGAGATAATTAATCCATCCAAAACACCATGATCAGCTGGTATTGCTGGCACTTTTACTTTGTTTAGGAATTAGAATCTATTCTGTTCAATCCCCAGGAATTAAATGTATTTTATTCACTACATTAGACTTTCTCGTGTAACTCCTGCACATTATTCCATCATTATGCAGTGGTTGGTTCCAATGTTTCTTTCTGCAGTGAACTTGAGAATGTTATACACCCAGGTGGTGTTTAGCACATGCATGTGTTTCAATTAATTATATAAACATGATGCACCGCAGTACCTCCTTATAGTCGAGTTAATGTACATTAATTGGATGTTTGCCTTCGTTTTGAGAGAACAGTGCTTAAGGTAAGAGACACTTAATCGGTCGTGAATGATGACATGACTTATTGGGTCAATAGTTCTGACTCATCAGTTCATTTGGTCCAAAGTTGGATCAGATCCTGGCAGTGTGCCCTGCAGAAGTGTGCTTATTCCTCTCTTATTTCATACAATAGAATGTACAATGGCCTTCATGTTCTAAGTGATAGAAGCCAGACACAATATTTGTGGGTCTCTATAGTTAGCGAGGCTAAAGTGCAGACTGACAGCTTTGATTTGACTGTATTTTTAGCCATTTCCAATAAAAAGGCATAGACATATGGCCTTTTCAAGCACCTACAGTTTTTTTCATTTCAGGGTTGTGAAGGTATTAGGGTTATAAAAGTAATTTTAATACACTGTCAAAAATCTTTACGGGATCTGAACTGTACATGTCTGCAACCCATAAACATCCCTATGAATCCTGCTATCTACAGTAACTGTCAAGATCTTTTTCTCATTCTTTTTGCATTTCAAAGTGTTGTATTTTGAGAGGACTCAGAAGAAAATGAAAGGTGTTCCGGTCAAAGAGAGACTATGCACACAAGATGTGGATTTTTTTGTTGTTGTTTATTTTGTGAACCTGTGCCGTGCATCCATCAGCTGAGTGTAGAAATGAATCACCCGGCCCTCTGTGAGTCACGGTGGCCCATAACTGTCTCCTGGTGTTACATACATTTGCGTACATAAAACATGCAAATTGTATCACATTATTACCAAAAACCTTCAACAAACCTTTACGAATGACTCCTGCTACTTCAAAAATATGTTTAGAGCTTCATGCACTTCCAATGACTATAGCTCACAGATGTTATGACAGCTCATGGCCGTCACATTGTGCAGATAAGATGAGGCCTTGCACTGTTTTAAAGGGGAAAAGAAATAGCAAAACAAGTGATCTAAACAGATGTGTAAGGACAAATCCAACTAGGAAAAACAATGAACTTTAAGCTGCATCTGACCATGATGGCATGAAAATTGTTCTTATCTTGAAATAATCTATTAATGAATTAATTAGTAATTATTACTAATATGGGCCTATAAATACGGAACAACTATACATAAACAGTACTCGTAATCCCATATGTATTGCCCTCCTTTATTTAAGTATAAGGTTATAGGTTCTGTACCTCTTCAATGTAATGACACACTCAATAAAGTGCATATTGTAGTACAGCTGTTTTCTGTGTTGTTTATGATCCTTATGCTAATGCAATCTCCCCTATAATACCACGGAACATTATCTGAATATACTGATTCAGCACTGCCACATGAACCAATCCTTGAACTGTTTCTGCTGCTTCTGTGTCAGCAATTCATACATTAGGAATAAAAATGTATAGAAAGAGAAGGAATTTGCAATAAAAAAAACACTGCGAATTGTTGTCGACAAATCTGTTCACTCACAAAATCCACTGCCTGGGGTAACCGCTTCTTTGGTGGGTGCCAGTTTTCTTTATATTGCAGCTTGCTAGAAAAGGTATCAAGCAAATAACAGATAAAAGGAAGACAAACAAGTAACTTTGAATGGACTCTACATTCAAGCCCTCTCTGCACCACAAGAGGTGTGGTTGTAGTGTGCTGCTAACATTGTAAATTTGGATAAAACCTCATTTTAAAGAGCTGACAACAAAAGAGTTAATCAACTCTAGGTTAGTGTCTTAAAAGGAGAGCTTGAGGCTCAGGGACCTACCTTACTGTAGCACATTATAAATGGTAATTTATCATGGTAATTATTTAAAATATATTGTCAACACACAGATGTGACGTATTTTGCTTTTGAACTTTTCAAAAAAATCTCTCTAAAATTAAGACAGTGTTGTCTGTAGATGTATCTGTGTGATCATATACAACCGGGTCCCACAGTAATTCAGTCTCCTACTGCTGGTTACAGTGACTGTGGATGCATGGGCACTCTGAATGGATATTCCTTGTAAACCTAAGGTTGTGTGAATATTGAAGTGAGCAAAGTGTTTACTTTATGCGTAATGGGGTTGATGCGCATAGCTGTTTACATGTCTGTAGCATGTACTGTAATTATGTAAATGAGGCACAGTTTGCGCTCCCTGTTCTTTTACATGAAAATGCTAGCCTAAATGAGAATGGCTTAGTGCATTTTCTCAGTGTTGTTCCATAAACTTCTGAGAGTAATCAATCTTTACTTTCTGTTTCACGTACTCTCCCTTATCAGCCAAAACAGATGTGATGTTTTTCATTACTACAGTAGCCTATGTATTTGAGTAGTAGTTTGTAGTTGTAGTTGAAAATGTGCAAATAATGAATGAGGCAAATCTTTTATCTGTTGTTGGTCTTTTAACTGGAAATAATGCTATATTGCAATCTGATGTGGGGGTTGAAATCTATTCTTCTGAGTTGCACAAATTTAGCAGGATACAAAATCTGATGTGACTGAGAATCTAAGCTTGTATTGTTTGCTAATGCTAATGTTTAAGAACTTAAGTGGAATGAAAGTAGGTTAGAAATCCAATTAATTTAACACTCCATCAATTTGCACACACAGTAGTTGCATGTTATCCTTTTTGTACATTTTAAGTGACATCAGTTTTTTTGTTCCCTCAGGTCCTCCAGTCATTGTAGGTATGAGCATCAACATAGCGAGCATCGACTCCATCTCAGAAGTAAACATGGTAAGTTGCAAAATTCTAAATGTGTTCAATCTTCACACCACAGTCCTTGTCACTGCTAACTCTACTGTTGGCCTTGGGGGGGTGGCTGCAGGTGAGGAGCCCTCGTCCTTGTTGTCAACTAAGACTTCCATGCAAGAGGTTCACGCTAACTCCACATTAACTAAACACCTCCATGCAACCGCACAATTAACCAGAGGAAGGTGCCAGTACATCAACACATACACGGTCCCTCACTGGCTTCCCACCACTAATACTGCCAGTTGTAATTGTTGGACTGAATGACCAAGGCAAACAGGGGTTACCACTACAGATTATCCTTGGTGGTTTTTGCACATCATTCCACTGAAACCTTGGTTTCCCCGATAAATCTAAAAAAAAAAATTGTTTTGTCTTGAACAACCGATAATTTGTTCAGAGTAGTCATCACACTACTCTGCAAGACAGCACATATTCTTTTGCCCCACAGACATGAGAGCAGTCAGGAATGCAGGCTGAGTAGTGAAGAAGCCAATATGGCCGGTGTCTGAGTGATGACGTCATGCTGTCTCTTAGCACTCTCTTTATTGCACTCAGCGTGACATAGTCACTCACAGTGCTGCTCACTCCTCCCACATGTTGAGGCAGCTTTTCTATTTGGTGTTTGTGTTTTGTGTCTCGCTGTCTTTCTTTCTTTCTTTTTTTCTTTCTTGTAGTTCTCTCGCTTTTGCTTCAGAAGTGATCAAATGACTTGTTCAAATAAACGTCAGACCTGTTTTAAATGTGTTCTTGATTTGCTTGAGATATCTTCACTCTTTGAATCAGGAGTTCAGAGTGGGAATATAGGACCTCTTGATTAATGATCAAAATGTATATTAAATGCTCAATGGCAACAGATGGTGTGTGAATTCTAAATTTGATGAGGGGTGAGGTATAAACAAATGCTCTTACAGATTAAACTAAAGCAAACAAAGTGTAAATGTTTGTAACCGCTTGCTGTTTCGAGAAGTGTCAAGAAATGTTTGCTGTCTGAGTTTTTGATAAACCAATTTGGATGGCTCCTTCCCCCAAATCTGTATTTAAAATAACTATATTTATCACTAGTATGGCTGATACATGTAGTGATACTTTATTACAGAACACTTTGAATTAGGGTCTAGTTTCATCGAGGACTGGCAAGAAACAACAGATAAACACTGTAAAGCTCGGAACTAATGTACATGTAAATTGTGTTTTTTGTCTATGACTTCATCAAAGTTTTTCCTTCTCTCCAGGACTATACCATCACAATGTATTTCCAGCAGAGCTGGCGAGATAAGCGTTTGGCCTATGGTGAGCTGAACTTAAACCTGACTCTGGACAACCGTGTAGCAGACCAGCTTTGGCTCCCTGACACCTACTTCCTTAATGACAAGAAGTCCTTTCTTCATGGTGTGACAGTAAAAAACCGAATGATCCGACTCCACCCTGACGGCACTGTCTTATACGGACTGAGGTAAGAGCAGTGGACTTCTGGGCTACTGGGTGAACCTGAACTTGTGGTGCTGGTTAGAGATCTAGTGACCCTAAACATGATTAGTACGTACAGAAAATGGAAGGATGTTGTCATCAGTATTTAGAAATCTAGAGATTGAGCAAACACTTAGACCAGAAAAAACAGGAGGACTTAATTGACAGATGTGACTGAAGAGTGATTTTTGTCAACAGTAGACTGCTGAAAACCGAGACATACTCACAATAACTTTTAATTTGATAACTGCTGTCTTTATCATTTGCATCTGTCATGTGGCAGTAATAAAGCAAGCGGAAATTTTGATAACCTGCTGTCACATGTGGTTCGAGGAAAAACAGGGCAGGGTGAGCTATGACAGATTTATTTTTGGAAACAATAAACACACTTTAAAACTTCATTTATCAAGTTAATAGTCTACAAAGTTTTAAGTGTCACTCAGGACAAACAATAACAATATTTTTTGAAATCCAAAATTCATCCACCCAAAATAGGCTTAAAAAAGGTTCAAAATGCTCACCACCTAAATGTCCCAGATCACTGACAAACTAGACAATTCAGTCAACAGTAAATGTGCACAGAGGGACCCATCAAAAATCTCTTGGGGACGGCTAAAAGTAGGAAAATGTCTTGAGGTTTGTTCAAACTCAGAATGGATTGCTGCTTTTCTTAACACACGTCAATAAAATAAAGTAGTTTGACGGAGGCAAAGAAGCTGGGAACGTGTTTTGTTCCATGAATAAAAGAAAATGGCAGTGACAAGGCGTAGATCATATGAAGTAATGAATTATTAATGCAATAATCACTATTCAGAAATTCTGGATTACTGAATTGGTGCTGACACAAAAGAAGATGGCAAAAGTGTTTCTTTCCTTTTATGACTTCACAAGGTATCAACATAGTAGATATGCAGTCTCACTGCTGCTAAAGACCACGCTGTAAATGTCCGCCTACTAGATGAATCTTTAAGGGTTGTTCTTTACCCTCTGTGACAATAAGCCTGGCAATGTACGAGCACAATCTTGGAGCAGCGTGGTGCCACACTGAGAAGGGTCTGGAGCTAGGTGATTATGCGAATATATGAATATAATATGTACTGTTGGGGCGTGCTTCAATAAAGGCCAATCAAATCACCAGTGTTTTCCCCCTTCTGCTGTTTAAATGCTATAGGGATTGGCTGAACTGAAAGAGAAGGACCTCATATATCCTACAAGCACCTCTGACATTAGTAAATAATGATTTATAATTAAAATAATAATTAAAATATTCGTATTGGTAAGAATAACCCATTTCTTCAAGTGCTAATTTGGCATTAATCAATGTGTACTCGAAGAAAAACGTCACATCCTCCACCAGATAAAGCAGGTAGAAAGAGGAGCAATTTCACGCCAGCGTGGTACCAAAATTACACTGCGCCACCTGATCTGACATTCAAACAAAACAAACATTGCCAGCTGCTCCACTCAGCGTACGTACCTCAGCAGATCCAGGTTCCTTTGGAGCCACAAAAAAGTACCAAGCAGGCACAAGCACAGTAAAATGGACTTGTGCCAAAAGAAAATGGCATTACACCTGCATTCGCACCTCTGCTGGCTTTGTGCCTACATGAAACTGAACGAGTGTTGCTAGGGACACAAGCATCAACCATTGCGCCAACATCTCATCTTCAAACATAAGAACAGGGGTTCACTGTCACCCACTGCAGTAATGGTAAAAAGCACATGGCATCGAGCCCTTGGATCTGTCCTCCAGACCCTTTTTTCATCAGTGTACAGTAATTAGAAGCAGTGCATAATCTACATGCCATGGTGATTTCAGGACCTCTACAAGCCTCCTGTAAGCAGGCAATTAAATTGCTTTGTTAAAATGTTTGACTTTGCCCAAAGGTTGTCTGGACATTTTTTTCCCAGCCTCTCAAATTTGACCGCTTGAGGTTTTTGTTGTCTTAAATGCATTTTCTTTTAAAGGCCGCATGTTTGAATCCATCCCCTGTGCTACACTTGAGCACAGTAAAATGCAAACTGTGGACAATCACATTACACACTCTACTACACCTTGTGCTGCGCTTTCACCTATCCACTCACTGTGAAATGTGCTGATACTGGTGTTTGTCCTTTTTTTTAGCCTTTAGTTACCTTGATGCCTAGCGTTTACAGTGATTTTAATCTGAGCTGTGCTGATTTGCGTTGATTGACCACTTCTATTTTTGTTGTCATTTTAAGTACAACCTGACATTCTCTGTACTTCACAACTGTGTCCTCATTTTTTTACCCACTGATCTCATGTTGAGCATTGAATGGTGCATTCTCTGTACCTGCTGTCTCTGTGCTGTGGCTCAACCATTAATGCACCAAATTAGTCTTATTTTTCTAACAACAGTAACCTGCATGTACGCAATCAGGATTATTTAAAAGATGCTATAATAGCATAAAAGTGTCCACACATAGTGATTTAAAGTGAAAAAATTACAAATAAATTAGTGTTTCTGTCAGAAATTAAAATTCTCAGAACCTAAATCAGATCTTACGCTGACATGATACGCCAAGTTTACAGTTATTCCATTATTAGAAGTTCCAGCATCCTTCCACTGTACTTGAGTACAATTTAGAGATACTTTTCTTCAGTATTTCTATTTTATACTTTATACTTAAATTCCACTACATTTCACAGGGAAATGTCGTACATTATACACCAGTACATTTATCTGACAGTTATAGTTACGAGTTACTTTTCAGATTAAGAGCTTCATTTTTTATGATCTTACAAAACAGAATGCATGTTAAAGATTGAAACCAGTGTTCCCAACCCTTTATGTGTTATAAACAGTTTCACTAAAGGATGATTTCCCCTTTAAACTTCTCAGATGGTTTCATTTAAATAAGAGTTTGAGGCCCAAAGTGTTTTTTATTTTAATGATCCGTATTTCAAAAAATTCAACAAGTGAATACAAATTTGTGTAGAACTTTGTATTTTTCTTCTATCCAACCCTCATTAATCAACACAATCCCACAGATTTATTCAGGGACCCTTTGGAGGGTCCACTGGACTTAACAAACAAACTGTATATACAGTCAAATTAGCTCCACCTCGACCAGCTATTCTGCATGCTTTTCAATTGATGCATCAGTATTAACAATCTAATAATGTCATGGAATAATATGTCACTATAATATGTCACTTACAGGGACCATTATGCTGCAGAGCAAGTTCTTTTACTTTTGATGCTTGAAGTACATTTTGCTTATAATACTTCAGTAGTATTTTGATTGTAGGACTTTTGCTTGTAATTGAGCATTTTTACATGAGGTTTACTTGTACTTTTACTTAACTAAACGATCTGAGTGCCTCTGCCAATGACATTGTCCACAAGTGTGCATGTGCCTGCCCATAAATCCTTTCCCTGGGAGTGGCCATGGATTGTGAGAATCAAAAGATGGAGGAGTGATGGTGCATGTGTACTGCAGATCCAAAATTCAAATCAAAACTGGAAAACTGCCCCCACCCACCTCCCTAGAATTAATATTGTTATTGAAAACCTAGCTTAAATTGACATTTCTGTGTACTTGAGATATACTGTGGCTAGATTTTATGTGGAGAAGAGGGAGGGGGCTGGGTCTGAAGACTGTTGAGAGGTGCAGGAGAGTGTTTGGGTGTTGCGAACAAAGTAGTTTGAAAGATCAATGAAAGAGGTCGTGGCCAGTAGAAAGTGTCCAGCCCCGTGTGCATGATAGAGCAGCTTTTTCTAACTTGCCAGTGAGTTGAGAGGTTGAATCATTGTTAGCGAACTATCAATCCATTTTGGTAGTGCGATGGGTCCTGAGAGCACTGAGGGCTTTGTTGAGCTAAGCTTTCGCCAGATGGTGTCTTCTCTCTTCCCATTCCTGCTCACTCTGTTCCTCTGTTTATTAAACCATGGTGTAGTACTATGATCTTCTTCAGTAAGCAAACTACCTCACGGAGAAGGATACAGGAGTAGACTGTGTAGGTGTCGAAACTATTGCTCACATATCTGAGAGCCTCCGTGTCTGTAGCGCTGAGCCTCTGGGATCCACCTCCAGATTGCTGGATCCCTAGATTTAGTTGTTTAATTCTGGCGCGGTACATGGTGTAAAAAGAGCCAAGACTGGAATGCACCTTTTAACTGTAAATAAAAGTTTCTACTTCCTCAGGCACTAGGCCTACTAGTAAGGTCTTCATTTTTATTTTGCAATGCATTTGCAACAATTTGCAGTGATTTTGGCCTTTCTCACATCTTTTAGTGATGAGATGGCAGGAAAAAAATACAAACAAACTGATAAATCTACAATCCCAGTATCTCCGGTAGCTCACAGCAGTCCTTACCACAGCAACCCAGGTTTTAATCTGACCCGTGCCCTTTGCTGCATGTCATACCCCCTCTCTCTCTCTCTCTGCCTTCTCTGTTTTTTAATAAAAAAAAAAAAGAATGAAATATAACACAGAAAAATTCTTGAAATCTACAAAGTAAACAGACAGCTGAGTGTCGGACTGCAGTGCCTGCTCAGGTCTGAGGCTGCTGCTGACCATCTCTGGTGGGACTTTAAGTTGCTGACCTACATCTGCTGACATTTCCAAATCCCAGGCCCTTGCTGAAAGCCGTCCCAACTTGTGCCTACTCAATGATGATTCTCTCCTCACTTGTTAACTGTCACATATAAAGTCAACTTTATTCGTAGTGGGGGTTTCTCTCTCTCTCTCTCTCTCTCTCTCTCTCTGCCAAGGGGTAAAGAATTCATTTCTGTCCAATACTCCAAGCTGCTGCTTCCAGGGTTTTACTGCTTCACTGCGCTACCAGGGGTATTGTCTTTTATGAACAGTAACTGTGTCTTGACAGGAAATGTCTTCCTGTTTATGATCACAGAGGACACAGGACCTTGCTACAGCTTGAGGTTTCTGGCAGCACATTGTAGGGTCTCTGCATATTTTAGCTTGTTACATTTTTCAATGCATACAGTAAGATGGAACTTTGGCACACATTTTTTTCCTTTTGTTTGTTTCTCCACTACTTCACTTTTGGTAGATTAATAAAAGATTATAATGTGTTGGCAGATACCGAGTTTTCACAGTTTAGGTTATTTCACAGTAGAGAGATCTGTTTTCCCCTGTGCTCCTTATTGGTTTGAAGTGGGCAGGGATTTAGTTGGAAAATGTTGATGTCACATATTTCCATGCACCAATCAGGATTCAGCAACAGTTTAATATGAATCCTTTACTTAAATCTTATCTCGTAAATCTCATCTGTATTATATTGTGTAAACAACCCCCCCCCCCACTTCCCCCACCCATACAAACAATGTAAAATGCTAACAAATCTTTAGTGTTAATGAAAGTAAAGATTTTGTGTTCCCTTCCAGGTCCCTATGACCTTTTATTTGAGCACATTGTTCCTAGTCACAGATGCCTCCATTATTTGATTTCACTTTATTATCAGAATATTTTTTTTAAATGTGTCATGTATCCAAGACAATCAGTAGATCTACATGCACCGCACCAGTGATTGCCGTTATTTTGGAGGTTTCCATCTAGCTGATAAGAGCCTTTTTGCTGCAGTGGATCCAGCTAGCCACAATTTTCTCTGAGACATGTTGAAGTTCAAGTTAGAGTCGGCATTTATTAACATGAATAACCATCCAATCACTTTGGGTGTCATTTGACGAACCTGCTCCCAAAAGTACAGAACAGGGCAGCAATCCCACATCACATGCTGGAAAGTCTGATTCAACAGATTTTAATTGACAAAGATTAAAAAATTAGGAGACACTTCCATCTTCATTAAGGATCTTTACTTGTGGGTTAAGTAAAGTCAAACAAATCTGAAATGGAACGGTTGATGAATCTATCTGAGTGAAGATAGTGTGATATTTCTCAGTTTTTTTGCCAATTTATTAATTTAGATAAATGAGCAAGATCTTTATTCCACGTCTGTACGGCCAAACTCCTCTGCGAATTATTCATATAATGTCTCTTTGGTATTGCTTGTAGTTTATTAAACAAACGTTTTGTTTAAAAGGATGCATAGTCGAGTGTCACAGGGAATTCCAGCAGTGAACATGGAAGAACAGAGCTGAAGATGGAGAAAGAAAGAATGAGCTGGAGCATTGTGTTTCTTTCAAATCTCAAACGCCTCAATCCTGCCCCATCCATTATGTCACCTAAGTTGTTCATTCCAAGACGTACCCATTTAATTGTCCTAAGCGAAGAGAAACATGGAAAAGGGCCTTTGCTATTAATGTAATTAGGCATGATGTTATCTCCTCACAGTGTGTATCAGTGGTAGCCCTGCTGTACACTGTGGAGCACTGTTAGGCAGCAGGGGGTGCAGAACAGTAGAGCAGAAACGAATGCAGCTTGAGCAGCTGAATGCTTGTGCAGCAGAATGCAGCTCAGTGTCATTGTGAATAATAAATATATACCTGTCACACGTTCTGTTTATGTATTATTTTCTTTACCCTTCTGGTGCCTTCTGCTATCATGGACCCAGAGGCCCCACATGTGTTAATCTGGTCCAATCAGCTTTAGCAGAACATATTTTGTTTTCCAATTACCAGCCGACAGCACTCTGTTCACCCCTCCATGACCAATTTACAAACTCTGTGTTCATGCAATATATTCCCGAAGCAAACAGCTTATTATCTACTGTATTTCTAATTCTAAGCACTGTAGATGGTTGTGTACATTTGCTTACTGAATCAGACTGTAGCAGCATTGGTAGCGTTGACTTAAACATGGTTAATAATATCTCCAAAATTTTAAAAACATGCTTTTTAAAGGGCAAAACTTCATATCCCTCTCATCATGCTCATCTAACATACACACAGAGACATGCTGTGCACATTAAACTTCCCCTGTGAATGTGCTGGTGGCTTCTGACACACAGATGATGAGCTGAAAATGTATATTTTTTAATCTCATTTACACAGGAGGGCAGTAAGCGAATGAAAGCTGGTATGATGAACACATAGCAGCTGGTATGAACAGCAGAAATTTAATTACTCAAATGTGCTGCACTGGTAAATATCTTAAATGCCAAAGACCTCTACATGTGTAATTTGTAGCCAAAGCTGTTTTCCTGCGCTACTGAATGTATTGCCTTTAATAAAATGCTATTCATACATCTCTTCTATAGCTACCTGGCAGAAATGCATATCTCAGAACTAGCAATAATAATGTACATTGACAAAATGTGATCCACGTAAAAGGAAATAGGCCTTCCCAGAAACATAAAAAATATATATATATATATATATACAGTCTGTGGATAAGTAGAAAACATAGTAAAATTCCCCCAAAACATGACACAAGTTAAGTCTCCAACATGAATGGTGCTACACAGTTGTATACATTCAAAACCAATAAGATACATGCATTATTGGAAAAATGTCACAATGATATATGCTTAAAAGCTTGCCATGGATTATTGAATTGCTGCAGCACTTTAATGTCTTGAACAAATAAGGACAAATTAATAGCTGTGGCAGTGCGACTTAAGTAAGTGGTGGACATACTGGTGCTTCATCAAAGCTCATCTGCCACCTTTTCCTTCATTTGTGGGGAAACAATTGCATAAAATGAGTGTGAAAATGTGTTTTTGTCTCTCCATGTCTTTATGATATCAACTAAGTCTCTGCTCTGTTGTTGTCTTTTTTTTTTTCTTCTTAGAATAACCACCACTGCTGCTTGCATGATGGACTTAAGGAGGTATCCTCTTGACGAACAGAACTGCACCCTGGAAATTGAAAGCTGTGAGTAATACAGAACATGCGCGGTATTTTTTTTGTCTCTCTCACAACAAAGACCTTTGTTGTGAACTCAGAGCAGCCTTGAAAAGAAATAAGCAGGACTACCAGAAGGCTGGCTGCGTAATCACCGTCTTAAAATCATTGCATGTCTCTAAACCTCTAAAAACTACACATTATTAAGTTTTTAGTAAATACATTTGTATGAGATAATTGGAAAAGTCAGCAGTGAAATATTTGGCATCTTTGCCAATGTGTGCCATTTGTCCGTTTTACCTCTGCAGTTGATTACTGACTTGAGAAATAGAGAAGAAATCATAGTGCTTGCTGATGTGCATTGATTACTATTCCCTCAGTGTGACAGATGGACAGGGCCACCACTGGATGTGTGAATGGTGAAGGCATAATGATAACATTAATACTGGGGACCTTACTTAAACCTCAATATGTCTCTTAACCTCTAAATTACATTATTGTCATGCAATGTCTGAATAAATGGAGTTTAATAGTAGCTCACACCCCCACCGCAATGATTTTAATAAATGTCACTAGTAACTAATATCTAAGTAACAAGGAAGTAATCCATTCATCAGAAATGATTCATTGAGGAAGTGGTCAGCATATAGATATTCAGATATTTGGTTCAATGAGATAGTAATCTCTAACTGTTCCTTTAATTCAGAGTTATTCAGGAACTACTGGTTAGTTCGTCGGTTTCCGTTTTGTTCTGCACTTCTTCTTTGATAACTACTCAGGACTTTATTTTATCGTGAATTTTTACTGCTAGGTCCTGTTAGAATGTGGATTGCATCAAAGAACATAATTGAAATTCCTAAATCAGCGGGCTTTCAAAACTCAGATTTCTGTTTTCTTTTCAATGGTACATGTTTGCTGTCTTTGGAAGGAACATTACCGACAGTGTCATAATGAACATGTATGCATAAAAGCCACATACAGGTTTTTATACTGTAGGTTTTCCAACTTTCCATATGCAGTGCTTTTAAATGAGCTTTAATTGAAAGAACATATTTAAATATAATCTCTATCATAATGTCACATAAGATCACACTATGTACAATATACAATATACAGAGTAGTATTAGGTCAGAACCTTGGCTTTGCAACTGAATTTACCTTCCAAGCAGTCTTTAATGTAGTAACATGAGAGCACCTTACTTTTAGTCCCCAGTAGGGGTTAAGGTCCAAAAACACTTGATCCTTCATTTCCCATAATGCAACCAATAGCACCAGACTCTCCCAGCCTAGTAAATCCCAAATGTTTTAAAATACACACCTCTAGTTTGTAATGTCATTAATTTGTAGTTTCCAAGCTCAAGTCAAGATACTTTATCAGAATTTAAAAAGCTACGCCCAGAGCCACGGAAGTCATAATCCAACTATTTTCACAGATTGACTGGTTCTCCCCATGAATAAAAAAACTGGGCTTTATGTGTAAAACTGGTTGAATTACCCTTTAAGATCATAATCAGATGAAAATAGATATAGAACATGCTCGTGAACTGGCAGCATGATTCTTAAAAGGAATATTGTACAGGTGAAACTCGAAAAATTAGCATATCGTGCAAAAGTTCATTTATTTCAGTAATTCAACTTAAAAGGTGAAACTAATATATTATATAGACTCATTACATGCAAAGTGAGATATTTCAAGCCTTTATTTGATATAATTTCAATGATTATGGCTTACAGCTTATGAAAACCCCAAATTCAAAATCTCAGAAAATTAGAATATTACATGAAATCAATCCAACGAGGGTTAAAATGAAGGGCAACTGGACTTGGTTGAAGATACTGGAAGACGTTTCGTCCCTTATCCAAAGGACTTCTTCAGTTCTGACTGACTGGCAGGGAAACTCAGCTATTTAATCTCAGTGGGGTCGTTATCCCGGGTCATCGATACCGGTGGTTTGTTAGTGTTCCTTGTTGCTGTGACGACAGTCGTTACAGTCGTTAAGACTACCTGTGGCCAAGACTGAACGACCATCGTTGGTATCTTCACCTGAGGCCAATAGGTTACGTTTGTTGAGTTTCCTGGGAAGTGATGAAAGGACAGCATTGTAAGTGGGGGATAAGTGGTGGCGTAGACCCCCTCCCCTGTTCAATGACGGCTTCTCGACCCGGGTGTAGATGGCTTCCTTGACACCTCTTTCAAACCATCCATCTTCTCTGTCTAAAATGTGCACCTGGTGGTCCTCAAACGAGTGTCCTCTGTCCTTCAGATGTAAGTAGACTGCAGAGTCTTGACCTGAGGAGTTGGCCCTTCTGTGTTGAGCCATGCGTTTGTGTAGTGGTTGTTTAGTCTCCCCAATATACAGGTCTGTGCATTCCTCACTGGATTGGACCGCATACACTAGATTGCTTTTCTTGTGTTTGGGTGTGCGGTCTTTGGGGTGGACCAGCATCTGTCTTAGTGTGTTCTTGGGTTTAAAAAACACAGGGATGTTATGTTTGTTAAAAATCCTCCTGAGTTTCTCTGATACTCCAGACACGTATGGAATCACAATGTTGTTGCGTTAGCTGAGTTTCCCTGCCAGTCAGTCAGAACTGAAGAAGTCCTTTGGATAAGGGACGAAACGTCTTCCAGTAGCTTCAACCAAGTCCAGTTGCCCTTCATTTTAACCCTCGTTGGATAACTATGACCTGGATGACTGAGAATCTTCATATACATGAAATCAATAAAAAAAAAGGATTTTAAATACAGAAATGTCAGCCCTCTGGAAAATATAATCATGCATATGTACTTGGTTTGGGCCCCTTTTGCATGAATTACTGCCTCAATGCGGCGTGGCATGGATGCTATCAGCCTGTGGCACTGCTGAGGTGTTATGGAAGACCAGGATGCTTCAATAGCGGCCTTCAGCTCTTCTGCATTGTTCGGTCTCATGTCTTTCATCTTTCTCTTGGCAGTGCCCCATAGATTCTCTATGGGGTTCAGGTCAGGTGAGTTTGCTGGCCAATCAAGCACAATAATCCCACGGTCATTGAACCAGGTTTTGGTACTTTTGGCAGTGTGAGCAGGTGCCAAGTCCTGCTGGAAATGAAGTCAGCATCTCCATAAAGCACGTCTGTTGAAGGAAGCATAAAATGTCCTGGTAGACGGTGACTCTGGACTTAATAAAGCACAGTGGACCAACACCAGCAGATGACATGGCTCCCCAAACCAACACAGACTGTGGAAACTTCACACTGGACTTCAAGCATCTTGGATTGTGTGCCTCTCCATTCTTCCTCCAGACTCTGGGACCTTGGTTTCCAAATGAGATGCAAAATTTGTTCTCATCAGAAAAGAGGACTTTGGACCACTGAGAAACAGACCAGCTCTTTTTTTCTTTAGCCCAGGTAAAACGCTTCTGATGTGGTTTGTTGCTTGACAAGAGGAATACGACATTTGAAGCCCATGTCCAGGACCCGTCTGTGTGTGGTGGCTCTTGATGCAGTAACTCCAGCCTCAGTCCACTCCTTGTGAAGCTCCCCCACACGTTTGAATGGCCTTGCCCTGACAATGCTCTCCAGGCTACGGTCATCCCTGCTGCTTGTGCACCTTTTTCTTCCACACTTTTCCCTTCCACTTAACTTTCTATTAATGTGCCTTGATACAGCACTTTGAGAACATCCAACTTCTTTTGCAATTACCTTTTGAGGCTTTCCCTCCTTGTGGAGGGTGTCAATGATGGTTTTCTGCACAACTGTCCTGTCATCAGTCTTCCCCATGATTGTGAATTCCACTGAACCAGACTGAGAGACCAATTAAAGTCTCAGGAACCCTTTGAAGGTGTTTTGGATTAATTAGCTGATTAGAGTGTGACACTTTGAGCCTACAATACTGAATCTTTTCACAATATTCAAATTTTCTGAGATTTTGAATTTGGGGTTTTCATAAGCTGTAAACCATAATCATCAAAATTATATCAAATAAAGGCTTGAAATATCTCACTTTGCATGTAATGAGTCTATATAATATATTAGTTTCACCTTTTAAGTTGAATTACTGAAATAAATGAACTTCTGCACGATATGCTAATTTTTTTCGAGTTTCACCTGTATGTATGTACACATAAAGGAGAAAATAAGACAAAAAATGCTGACTTTACATGATATACCACAATATCATTTAATAGGCATTGTTTAAAGTATTTTCTTTCTTGAAATGCTTTAATGTAGATCTATTTAGAATCTATATCTAGGAGAAAAATGTTTTAGTGGTGTAATTAGGGGGTTAATTAGGGTTCAAACTGTGAAGTGGTAGAGGCCTGTTGAGAGCTTCTGTCAGTTTAATATTATTATTATTATTATTTGTCAAATTACTGTGGGCTGGAATGAGCTGGACACATTGCCCAAAACTGGGCAAGTGCTACCACAGAAATATTAGTCCAATCGGCTGGATGGTGGTACTGTAATTAAGGCCCAAAAATGCAGTTTGGAAAGGCCACGCCCCTTTAACAGTAAGTCAGGCGGACTTCAAATTTCTCACAATTCCAGCTCAGTGGGTTCTACAAAAAAGCCTCTTAGACCATAAAAGTCCACCATGATCGATTTGTGTTATGTGAAAAACAGTAAAATAAATTGAACTTTTTGAATTTTGACTCTGTCAACACCAAGGCATTGCAGGACTGAGAGACAGACAGAATTTCACCAATTTTGGCGTGCATGATCCGGAAGCAAGTATTAACCAAAATCTGAAGTGCCATATTAATTGGTGCATTGGTGGGTGTGGTCTTTCACATATTTGGTCATAACTCAATATGACTTTGAGCAAGCATGCTTAAACTCATGTTGTGAACGTACAATCTCAGTTTCGTTCACATACTATAAGCAAATGGCAGAGTGCACAATTATTGAATGCATACACTTTGATGATGTAACAAATGTTTGATTAGTCTCACTCCTTTAAATAGAATTAAACAAGCTTAAGTGACTTTGCTCGGCTTTGTGAAGCCTGAAAGCCGCTTGTTGCTGCCTGTGGCTTCAATCTGGCTGATCAAGCTGCTTCCTTCTGTTCAGTGAAAAAGGGTTAGAACCTAGATTAGCTGCTTGCAGCTATATATGAAAATTGTATTTGCTTGATCATTTTCATTGACCACTCCGTCAATCAGCCCACTTGCTCAATATACCAGCTATACTGTATTTGGTTTACCCTTGGAGGGAATCAGTGGGCAATGAAATATGGATATGCCATGAATTAAAAAGTTGCAAGAATATCTGCTGTTTATACTTATGGAATGCTCTGCACTAGTGGGAGTCATGCATATTAACAATCAATTTCATTGATTAGGCATTCACTTGTTTCAGTTTCATGGACATTGTCCCATTTCCTTACCCTGTAAGGTTAGAGAGAGATTTACTGGTAATGAATTCTGGTCCCTTCGTGAGTTTAATGCCATCCAGGTCTGGACGTGGGGTAGTAGAATGTGAAATGTAGTAACACTTCCCGGACTGAGAAATTGCTCGGCGGTGAATGCATAGTGACCTATTGACATAAATCTACAGCTGTGGTCACTTTCAATTGAACTGCCAGTTGAGAATGTGTGGGAGCGCCCATACTAAGTGACACATGTTAATAAATATTCATGCAGGTAGTAATGCATGCAGTGATATAGCTCCATAAGAGGCTGGACAGTGGCGCATGTGATTGCAGGCAGAGAGACAGACTGTCTTAGGCAGGCATGTTTTCCACTGAAGGAGATAAGTTGTCAAAGCGACCTCTACTCATTATTCATACTCTTGCAACAGACTTTTAAATAGAAACATGGTTAGCTTTAATTGTTTGTATTTGAACACACTTACACTCCACGTTTTGTTTCTCTCTCTTTCTCTCCTCTCCCCTGAATTTGCCCTGACCTTGACACAGATGGATATACTACGGATGACATCGTATTCTTCTGGCAAGGAGGAGACAACGCTGTGACAGGCGTTGACAAGTTAGAGTTACCTCAGTTCTCCATTGTAGACATCCGCTTGGTGTCCAGGGAGGTCAGGTTTACTACAGGTAAGGCTGTTGTAAAAAAAAAAAAAATAGTAAAAGCTCATTAGTCTAAAAGTATCAACTGCATACACAAAATGATTCTTCTCTATAAACACCTCTGCATCAGCGTCACGACTGAGTTCTGTGAGTGGGGGCATCAGTAAATACGTCAGTCACTGTGGGGAATATGATTATATTTGGGTCGTGCAGAAAGACAATTTCCTTTTCGGTGCAGCAGACTATATATGGCTATTCCCACATATTTGTAAAATGTGAACTGGCTTGCAAAACAAAGTGCAACTGAAGTACCAAGTATTGACTCACAAAACTTTTTATTAGATTTAGAACAGCTTCAGATAAACCTTTTAGTTGTTGATACTGAAATACTAGTTTTTGGCGCTTTACTAAGCATTTCTGTTTTGTGCAACTTCTTGCAAAGACCTCTACTTACTTACTGCTGTAGTTAGTTACTTAGTTTGCAGATTTTGTTTTTACATGCAAAACATGAGATACGCTTGGATACTATGAGGCATGTCTTGATTAAACCACCTCAAAGTATATAGAATCACTACTATAATTGTTTGTAGCAGTATAGTGATTTGACAGATCACCACCTTAAACAGCTCTTACGTTAAAAATGCTGCAGGTACTGAAGCAGTAGAAGAGTACTTCGGAACAGGCCATTCTACACGACCAGAGTTTTTTTGCTAAATGTTTGTACTTTTATTTGTTTGAAATTTTAACTACAGATTTCATGAATGGTTTGACATTTTGGGAAATCACTTATCCACTTTCTTACCTAGTTTTAGAGTTAGATGGGAAGATCGATACCATTGTCAGTCTGTATGGTTAGCCTATAGCCTAGCATAAAAAACTTAAAAAAAACTACCAGAACCTCTAAAGCTCAATAATGAACACGTTATACCTTGTAAACCTGTGTAAAACCAACAATTTGCAGTTTTGTTCTTTGGTTGGTTGATCCCGTTGTCCCATGAGGTTGCCAGACAACCACCAGCAACAAGATATAACATGTTCATTATTGAGCTTTAGATGTGCTGGTGATCACCTTTGGACAGAGCCAGGCTAGCTGTTGCCCCCTGTTTCCAGTCTTTATGCTACATGTAAGCTAAACTAACTGTCACGAGGGTGATATTGATCTTCTTATTTAACCTTCGGCAAGAAAAAGAAGAATGTATTCCCAAAATGTCGAACTATTCTTTTATGCAGGATCTTGTGGTTCTTCCACCACTGGCTGAGACAAATTGAAAGCTATAATGATTACTCTCTAAGAATATCTGGATATAAACTACAGTACAGTGGAAAGGATATGCATATTCTGCATTCTGGAATAAAGTCCATGGACATATGTTTTAGAGAGTGGCATGCAGTATAGTTTCAGTTCAATATTTTACTCTCTGATACACTGTATAGAGACCACACACAGACTTTAGATGAGTTCAAGAGTGAGTGATCTGTTAGTAATAGAAAATCTGTTAGCACTTTATGTTAAAGCTTGGTAATAACATGGTAATAGTGGGGTAAATGGTTTGTTACTAAAGAGGTATTAAGTAATATAATGTAATTACCAAAGTAATAACCAGGTACTACCTGGTATTGACAATCCGTATACCTGGGTAATATTATACTGAAATTTCTGTCACAGGGAAATAAGGGGCCAAACGCAAAGGGTATCAGTGGGGGAACACATTTAAAGCTGGCCAACGAGGCAAAACTGTGTAGTAATATTATAGTAATATTTTGGTAACAATATGGTAACAACAATAAGACAGTTAAACCAGTTGGATTTAAAAATTGTAATGACATTAATGGGGTTATAACCTGTTAATAATGAGGTAATATAGGTTGATGTTTACACAATATTAAAGGCTACTATCAGTGTAATACATGCAACATCACACGACAATTCTTGAAAGTCAGAATTGGTAATAACCACAATATAATGAAATTTACCCTCCTTATGTTCTAAACATTCCCTGTTGGTAATACTAAAGGTAATATTGTACAAATGTTATGTTTAATGCTGTGACTTGTTAACTGGAAACACCTACAGGTAGATTATGTGTAAAAAAAACTTACAAAAAAAAAAGAAAAAAGGAAACAGAGCTGCTAAATACTAAACTCCCTGTCTCTATTTAATTTCATGGAAATATTCTCTACTTGCAAAATGCAATATGACAAAAATCCGTTTTATGAACTGCACGTATGTATATTTCCTGTCAACTCTGCAGGAGCGTTGCCAAGAATCTTTGTGTGAATGTGTCAGCAGTCTTATTTCAGTTGCCCATAGCTACCCCATAAGAAACCTCACTATTCTAAAAGGAAGAAGGAAGACACAAGTAACATTTTTGTGTAATTTTCATGTTTGAGTTTAATGAAATCTGTGAACACTTGTTGCCACCATTAATCTAGGATGTACTTGGGTGATCTAAGGCGTTTGTCCCAGACTTGATGAAGTATGTATGCTAAGGTATTGATTCATTAAAAGATTTAGAGGAACCTGGAGATGATGAGGTAATTCATCATTGTGTGTTTCCCATAGCAAATAGCCTTTTAGATTAAAACCATCACGCTTATCTGAAGCCTTTTTTCTTTGGTGACATATTGGAAAATAAAACTGTAGATAGAATGCATAGGATGGAATTTAACTACATTTAGGGCAATTTGTATTGTTTCCAACCTCGTAAATATCTAGCTATAGCTGAAGCAGAGAGATCCAGCATTTTATTGTTGTGGTTGTTTAAATTAAAGTGCAGTCAAAAGACCAATTAATGCCTTGGCACAACCAACTGATATTTTCCCACAAAATGTACAATGGAATGGCTTACCACCTTGCAGCCCCATACTGTACATTTGCCTTCCTCTTTTGGGGTAAAGGCATGCAATTATGCAACCCTAAAATGCCCTTTTGGTAATGTTTAGAGGACAGAGAAAGTGCGAAAGAAAAGCAGAGCAGTTCTCTGTGACAATTCTCAGAGGGATGCTGGAGCTGCCTGCTGAGATAGGGGGTTGCAGAAAAATCTGCCGTGTTTGCGACTTTCTGCCATGTTTAATTGGAATCGAACTCGTCCCTGGAAAGGAATCCATCGCTTTGGGGAAATTAAGTGCTCCATCTGAACAAATGGAGAAATGACTACCCCGCGCGTTGTCAAAGTGCAGAGTTTGGAACTCTTAAGTTGTGCCAACGTTTACCCCCTTCTCTCCTTTTTTTCACTGATGTGTTTTCACTCCACCCTGCTCTTTTCCAAACGATCACTCCATCCTCTCTCCTTACAGGTTCATATCCAAGGCTTTCACTGAGTTTCAGGATTAAGAGGAACATTGGATATTTCATCCTGCAGACATATATGCCCTCCATCTTGATCACCATCCTCTCCTGGGTCTCCTTCTGGATCAATTATGATGCATCTGCAGCTCGGGTGGCCCTGGGTAAGACACAGCCACTGCTGCATTATGAAACTTCTACCTGTCTCCATTAAAATCCAGTGATTATCGCAGGAACCAAAAGCATGTAGCTGTCACATGTTCAGTGTGGATGTGTACACTGTGTACATTTACAGGCACTTTTTCACAGCTTATTATTATTAATGAACTATTAACTGATTCAGTCGAGAAAGAAAATTACGTTAGTATTCCAGTTTCCTAGTAAACAGTTTATGTTGCTCCCATGTGATGCTTGCACAAAATAACTAGTACTGTGTAAACTCTAAAAAAATACGGATGTAGATGTTGAAAATATGGAGTGATGAGTAGTGTTTATTACATACAATGAGTAAGCCTGAGAGACATGCTTACTCATAATGCAATAAATGTGTCCCAATCAAGGTTATTACAGTTTTGGATTTTTCATTAGTTTTTATTTTTATTTAATTTTGACTTTTTGTTTTCAATTTCAGTTTAGTTTTAATTAGTCTTTAATGTGAGTTTGCTAGTTTAGTTTAGTTTTTGAAAATGCTTAGTTTTACTTTTGTTTTTATTAGTTTTAGTGTTAGTTTTAGTCTTTGTCGCTGCATGATGCCAAGCTCAGTTCAGTTTAGTTCAGTCCTGTTTAGTTTTTTCACAAAACGTTAAAATACAAGTACAATTATTGAAAATAATGCAGATTTGTGAAAAGGGACACAATTTTTAAGCTATCTGAAGCTCATGCATCAATTCATATTATTTTTGTACACATGTATGTATAAAAGATTGCCCCGCAACGTCAGTTCCCCAGGCTTCATATCCACAGGAAATGTAGGCTTATTTAGGCCCTATGACATAAATAAATGAAAACTGAAGTCATTAACTCTTTCATTTTAGTTCATTTTAGTTAGTTTTGCAAACCTACAATACAGTTGTAGTTAGTTATCGTTTTCTTTGTAAAACCTCGTTTTTATTTTTATTTCAATTAACAATGTTGACAATGTTTTTTCACATTTAGTTTTCGTTAACGATAATAACCTTGGTCCCAATTACATCAAAGTAGTAAACAGACTGTCACAAGGAAACAGAACTCAGTTACACTATCACTATTTTTATGATGTTAATGACACTTAACAAATTTACAGTCAGATGAATGTCCCAGATGCTATGACAAAAAAGCTCTCAGACTCACTCATGTTTCTGATGAAAGAACCACATATGAAGACTATTGACAGGCCTTTGACACCATGAAACAGTAATTTTACTGAACCTATCCAAATCCCAATCCTTTAACAAACGTTAGAACATGACAGAATTTGTACAATTTGTAACAGTAATTAGGGACTTTAAATACATACTTGAGTGCTTGAATAGTTAATCATCAGACAATAAATACAAATACCTAAGGTGCTAAATACTTTATTGACAGTGAGTGTCACGATACACCTACATTATTCTGTCAAACTGCAGCAGTGGTGAAATGTAACCATGTACTCAAGAACTGTTCGTTTGCAATTTTGAGTTACTCATACGTTCCTTGAGTGTTTCCAGTTTCTGCTACTTTTACTCCACTACATTTTAGAGGTAAATATTGTACTTTTCACTGCACTACAGTAATCTACTTTACAAACCTTTGAATGCAGGACTTTACTTTAAATGCAGTATTGTTACTTTTACTAAAGCAAATGATCTGAACAATTCTTCCATTATTGAACTACATGTAAAGGTTAATATAACTTCTGTTTCTGATGGTGAGCTCCTTATTTCTCTGTTTGTGCTGTTGTACCCAGGTGTGACAACGGTGCTTACCATGACAACAATTAACACCCACCTTAGGGAGACTCTCCCAAAGATTCCGTATGTGAAAGCCATCGACGTCTACCTCATGGGCTGTTTTGTGTTTGTGTTCCTGGCCCTGCTCGAATATGCCTTTGTAAATTACGTGTTCTTTGGCCGGGGCCCTGCGCAACAGAAGAAAATCAATGAGAGGCTGAACAAAGTCAACAACGAGCGCACAAGATACGAAGAGAAACGCCTGAGGGAACAGGTTTGCATCTTCATCTTCTACCTCTCTTTCACTCTGCGTCTCTGTGTCAGTCAGAGTTCAAGTGCAACAACTGTGTTCTGCACATAAGATTTCTAGCCATAGTCATTTAATCCAAAGACACATATACAGTATTCCCTGAAGGGATCCTCCAGATGCATACTGATGCCACCACAGCCCAATATGTATTCACCAACCATCATCCATTGCTTCTCCCTCAAGCACTGACTGCTTTTTATCGAACACAGACCCTTTTCATTGAGATAGCGATTCATCTAGCTCAACAGTGGCGTTAACATTCTCATTTCTAATTTAGGTTGTTGTCTATGTTTATGCTGTAGGCTTCATTCATTCTCACTCTGCTACCTTGTTTTTGAACATCCATTTTCAAACAAAATCAAACTGCAGACTGAGAAGGCATTGGCCATTTAACAAATTCGCTCTTGCACATGCTGAAATGGTGAGACTGAATGAAGCGCACCCTCCCCTCCCCTCAGTTTTTTTGTGTGTGAAGTACTAAATGCTATGCTTATTCAAAGTTGTTCCGGTTAACTCTATGTCTTATGCATTGTGTAATTTTGAGAAAATGTGCTTATTTGCCAATTTTATAGCCGTTTTAATGTTCTCTTCATTTTTCTTTCACATTGCAAGGACTCCATTTCCGTGCCGTTTCAAACCAACACCTTCAGGTCATTTACACAGCGAAGAAATCTGTATCTCGAGGAACAAAGAAAAGTTGGGGTACATTTATTTAGAACTCATATCAGCTGTAGGCCAGCCCTCACAATAAAGTCAGATTATTAAGGCTGTTCAAATAACTTGTGACACGTTTTTTTTGCAAGTGAAAAATCACTAAAAGATTTGTGTATAAAGAAACTCTTTGTTAACTATTTCTGGTGCATGCAAGAAATAACGTTCCATATCATCCCTACATTTTGTTTTAGCTTGACAGCTTGGGATATGGGAGGGGGGTTAATATTAGTTTAATTAATGAGGGAATCTGGGGCTACTGCTCAACATTTCAGCCCTCACTGACTCTCAGTGTGTTTCCCCTCTCCTCGCAGGTGGATGCTTACGGAAACATCCTCCTCACCACGCTGGAGATGAACAACGAAGTGATGCCTTCTGATGTGGGAAGCAGCGTCAGTGACTCTCGGAATTCAGTCATGTCCTTCGACAGCTCCGGGGTCCAATTCAGGAAGCCCATGGCGCCCCGAGATGGCTTCAGCCACCACTCACTGGATCGGAGCGCCATGCGGAGCCGGGCCAACTGTCGGCTACGGCGACGCTCCTCCAAGCTCAAGTTGAAAATCCCAAACCTGTCAGATGTTAGCACCATTGACAAGTGGTCCCGGGTCATTTTCCCTATCACCTTTGGATTTTTCAACCTAATCTACTGGTTGTACTATGTGAATTGATGTGCATCCCACTAGGAATCATGGGCCATATTTTGAGAGCACATTAAATTGGCTTTGATACAGTTCCAAAATATGTATACACATATACAAGTTGAACATATGTATATGCATATTTCTATATATTATATTTATATATACACGTGAAATCTGAAGGACCTTTCTGCTGTACAAAGTATTAATAGGATGACTTGAATGTTTAAGCATAATTGTGAGAGAAGAATTTCAAGGCTTTGAGTTTCTTTTTTCTCCTGAAGGAAACAAACAAACAAACAAACAAACAAGCAAACAAACAAACACGAGATCCCACCAGGGGTTTTTGGAACTAAAGACTGCATGATATTTTTGCTAAAAAAAAAACAAGAAAAAAGAGAAAGTGAAAGCTCTTGAGAGAGAAAAGATGTCTCAGAGTCCCATTGACTTTTTATCGATACTTATTGTGATCAAAAATCCTCTACTGCAGCTCATGAAAATCTGTGGTGGCTCGTCTGTTCAGGCATCAGCTGAGTGAGATCCTTGACACCTCCCCCACCCCCGCCGCCCTCACCCAACCCCCTTCCCACACACACACACACACACACCCCCTACACCCCATTACTCATGGATAACATGCACGGAAATCTCCGGTTCTACTATGTACAGCAACCTTGTTTGGATTATGTGTTGTTCCTTGGGTTTTTTGAAGTGATATCCTTCTCTTTATCAGACATTAGCTCTAACTTAATGGTCTCCATTAGAGGGGCTGTTGCGATGGGATGTTTGACCGCTGCATTCCCACCCAGAGTCAACGCAAACTTGTGTTCCTTTCTCTTATGTTATTTTTAAAAACATGTCCTTGGGGGGATGGGGTGGGGGAGGGGGGTCTTTTTCATTATGGTTAAAAACAAGTGCTGATTATTGTAGATATGATTTTGTCTTGAAAAATACTGTGATTTCAGAGAGTGTCAGAACATGTTCTAGAGCTAGGGCATTATGGGATAAAAGAGTCAAAGGTATGCATTACTCATTCTGATTGTGTGAAGAAAAAACATATTCTATACATTTTATCATTCAGATGCTCATGAAAGTATACTTGTACTGTTTATTTCCTCCTATTGATTGATTCACATGCTCTTTAGATGCCGAGTTCATTGACGTCATATCCTGCTTTGTGTTTGCTTTTGTGATACGTTTGAACTTATTCCACAGTGACGACGTGAGGACATGTATATTCAAAAGAGTCAACATATCAGCCCACAGTTTGACCAGTTGTCATTCAGTATACAGTATTTCTTTGTTTGTTGAGCGTTTCTTCAGTGTTGGAGTCGCAGTTTCTGAAGGCAAGGTTGTTTGCTTGGGATAGTAATGGGCAGCAGAAGACATGGGGGGGAGGATTCAGCATTTCACACTCAAACTCAATCAGTGCACATCACACAAATGCTCCGCACCTAGAGGAGCGGAGACATCAGTCTAATCAGCAATGATACAGTGATTGTTGGGGAGAAATGTATGATAAATAGCCATGAATTGAAATAACGGCCAAAAGGCCTATAATCCATCCGCATTATTATACATACACTGCATCTCTAGTGCTCAGGTTTATTTGCAAAGGAAAAACGTACTGTAGGTTTTTTGGGGGGGAAATTGGACTGGATAATGACGTTTATTAGTTTGTGAAATCCAAATTGTCCGCCAAATAAAAGTTATAGGTTAAGTTGTAGGGAACATAGGAATGAGCAAGAAAAACCCATTTTAAAAAAAACCCTCCCATGCCTGTTTAACTTCAGCTGAAGTGCACATCAGCATCTTCCTCAGTGTCATCTTCACTTCGGGCACAAACAGGCTCTACTGGGAGCAACAGGCTCTGAGGAAAAACCTACCCTAGCAAATCTACCACTGGGCCTCGTAGTAAAAGATAAAAGTCATTGGCTCATTAGAATACGCAGCACATCGGGGTCCCTGAGAAATATACAAATGGAAAAAGAGGTAAATCGTCATATGCACAAACACGTGGGGATGAGAGGAAGACTGAAGAGCTGCAGAGTAATAAATTTATCATCCAAGATATCCACTCCCCTCTGGAGCACGGTGCAGTATGCATAAGATGTCTTTAAAAATGAATACTGATCAGAAACCAGTTTTTCTCATAGTGAAGTTTGTACAGTGATGTGGCCCGAGCCGTGATCCGAGTTTAGTACTTCTTTTTTGTTTAAATTCTATGCATCGTCGTCATTGTACTGTAGAGGCAAAAGAAGAAAAAAAGAACGAAAAAAAAATCACCTTTAAATAGCCAGTAATCCGTAAAAACATACAGGAAGTATCTGGTGAGATGGTGAGAGTAACGTACTGAGCCGAGTTTTATGTTTCTGTCTGCAGCCGAACAATATGTTGTTTGTCTCTGAGTCAACTGTAAGATCCAAAGGATTACGTGACCAATACATGGTGATTAGATTTTAATGTGAAGAAAGTAAATTTGTTGTTATTTATCAGCAATGTTACAATGAGTCAAGAGCCACAATGAACTGAATTAGCAGCAAATGTTGGCCTCTGGGTTACTAGTGTTGCCATCTCCAAGCTCTGAAGCAGGTGGTGTTGTGCTATGTCGAGAATACATATTCAGTATTATACTCCAAACAAATGGTGGCATAATGTGATATTTTTGCCAAATTCAGAGTTCTTCAACAGTTGCCAAATGGAAGTGACTTAAGATTGAAATGCAATGAACTTAAAGTAGCATCAGTTATTTCAACATGCGGTCTTTCGCACCATGGTTAAAAATGCCCAATATCGGTTTTAAGTGTACTCCACCGATTTAGCATTGCACTCACTCACTCACTTGTTGCACTCACAATAGACAGTAAAAAATGCAGCAGAACCAGAGATATCGTCTTTTTCCATGCTTTCCTTTTCATTGTCAAAATCTGGCACGTACAATGCAATTGAAATTATGGGGTGTGTTATGCTAGTAGCGGCTATGTAGCCTGGAGCCGCTAGCTTCAAGCAGAGATGCGGAGCGGGCTGCCGAGGTTTGGTAAGCTCACTTTTTAACTCCACACCTCCAGATTTTTTCTTGTAGTCTTCATCCCCAACTGATGCTGACTCAAGTGACTCCTTCTGGAGCCAGAAAGGCTTTATACAGCTTTTTTCACATATGCAGCAGCACTCCCCAACACATGTAAACACACTGATGTGTAAAATCGGTGGCGTTCCCCTTTAACTTATCATATACATCCCTATGATGTGCTTGGCACAGTTCTCACAAATACACCGTCCTCGTTCGAGACATCAAAATTTAGATGTGGATAGAGGCGTCTGAGTCAGGGGTATTCAGAGGTGGTGATTACTTGTGTGCAAATTCACATTCATCTTGCAGGTAACCTTGTGTAATATTTGAACAAAGAAAAATAAAGGGAGGTGGTAGCAGTTAGTGGATAAGGAATTCAAGTTAATTTAAATAAGTAAGTTTTTTTTGCGTTATTTTATCCTGGACTGCACACTAACAGCTTGTCAAACTGTTAAAAGGCAATATGATGGATCTTCACTAAGTGAGGCCAGAGGAAACTGTTTGTTCCAGTGCAAGACGAGCACATATTGTTTGTAAAAATGCGGGACTTAAGGCAACCACAAGTGTTATTTTAACTAAATCAATGGAACATGTTCGACCAGAATGAAGCCTAATCCATCTACTCTGCGTTTCAATGAAATGCACTCACATTTTGTAACGCAGACTAACACAAAAGTATCAAAGTCTCATTCAGGTTGGTTTATTCTCAGAAATGAATGCAAACATGCCTTTTCAGGTATTGACTTGTTTGGATTGAGATAGTTGATGCATATTTTAGTGAACTCCAAACACATAAAGAGGAGAAAAATTAGCAGCCCTTGCATGCTCGCAGTAAAAGTCTCACTCATTTCACTCAGAACACGTATTACCTGCTTTCTGGACATGAAATCAGCACATTCATCCCAAAAGCTGTGAGGATCTTCTGTTCTATGCTTTCACTTTAGGATATTTGCTTATACAAGAGAGAAACTAGATTTCTTTTGACACATATGTTCAAGGAGTAGAGGAGGATAAAAAAAAAGTGTTGAACTGATTTCAATGTGAATTTTCTTGCCTCTAGTGTATATGTGTAATTACATGTGAATTGTACTGTAAATATGATATCTTTCACTTAATAGTTCTTAATGCATGAACAAAAACATGGCAGTTCGTAATACCAGCTAGCCTCACTGCTAATGGCATGGACAGCTTCTCTAGCATTGGCATACTTCTGCAAACGAAACCTAAAAAATGAAACACAAGAAATACATGGTGTGAACAAAATAATGGAGAAATCAACGCAAAGTCCTCTCACAGTGAAGGAGTTTCTGGTGGCTCTGAGCTTGTATTGGTTCCCTCAAGAACAAGGCTAATGTTTAGGCTGTTGACGATTTGTGGAAATGACAGTTTGCCTTGGTTCACTGTCAGCGAATGGGATGGTGCCATCTTGAATGAAATTCTCTACTTGGGCTTTTCCATTTGCCATAGGATTTGAGGGTAATTTCAGCACAGTATAGCTGCAGCGGTTACCTCAGCCATCAACACTTGTCCATGAATCTGCTGAAACAAATTAAGGGCATGATCGGCTAGCTGGCTTATAGAGGCTAGAGGAGCAGGATAGCCTTAAGAAGGCGAGGGGGATGTTCTTTCCTGTTCCTCAATAAGACAGTCATATGTGCCCTTGAGCAAGGTACTTAGCCAATTGCCCATTTGCAGCTGCTCGCTTGCTAACAATAGAAATCTCTGTCTGTATGGGCTAGCTCCCGGAACTACATATGTTTAGCTATGAGTGTATTGATAGGAAATTGTTCCCTGGAGCTATGTAAAGATAGAAAACACTTCCAAAAATGTCCCTTGGTTCTGTGCCAAACTGTGCAGTTAATTGTACCCAGTATTGTAGTGTGACTGTTTTGAGCAGTACCATTATAACCAGCTGGGATCTAATATGATTGAATCATGTTATTTTTTGTTGACTCCAGTCAACGTTTCATTTGGGATTACACCACTCCCCCCTCAAAAAGTGATATGCATGATGGGCTGAACAAAACTGTTCTGTGAGTTATGAGTAGCACTCTAACAAAAGAGTTGACCACGTCCATGCAAGAAACTTTCATCCACCGAACACCAGAACAAGGCTGACAGACTCCTCACTGTTGGAAGAACTTCTGCTGGTGCATTCATTATTTTGTACGTACCTTGTAGGTTTTGGTTTGCATGACCTGAGTTTTGAAAGGTTTATTTTCGTATATTTTTACTCCGCACCATCCGATTCATCTCCACAGCCAGGAAAAGAAAGATCCAGTGTTTACATGCTCAAATTGCACTTGTTTTACAGCCAGCTCTATAAATCTTGTGAAATAAACTTCGTAAAACTGGAGGAAAAATGTAAACATAGAACGTACATCGTGTGATTCGTGCGAATCATGAAGATGTACTTCTATACAATGTATTTACTGTAAATCACGCAATTTGGAATAGATGCACCAAGTGCATGCTGTAGTTTTATCAGGTTTAGCATAAGCATTAACATCAATCGCCCTTCAACTAAAACGGATGTGAACGATGCTCACCAGTAGCATCTGAACGTAAGCCATGTGATTGCACACTGAGTGGGTGTTCCCTGTATTTTTCTCTTTAATAAGTTGCCTCTGGTTATGGTCTGTTGTCGATTACTGTATGATGATACTTGCAAGACGCTGTGCTGATTCCCAGTTACACATCAGCATACCTCCCCTCTTTGAAAGAACACACCAGGGAGACTAACTTATGTTTAACCAGTAGGTGAGAAAGAAACACTTTATAAAAATTGGCAACAAAAAGAAAGAAACCCACAAGACCAACAGCCCATTTTATTTTTCAATATAAATTAGTAAATGATTTTATTCATTTCTGTGTTCATTTCTGATTTATTGTATTTGTTGCATTTGTTATGGATTGTTGTTGTTGTTTTATCATAAGAAGGAAGTGTAATTCATCTGATATACTGGCACTGGAAGAAAAATGCATTTGGTTTTTGTACTGTAATTGTTTTGTTCACATTGGGCGCTTATTTGATTCAGTTGTTTAATAAGGTGTTTGATTTCATTTGGAGTATCAGTACTCATGGAATCAACATTT